CAAACCCAACCAGTAATCAATTACAATTGGATAAAAATATCTGATACAATTATTGGGGTATCAAGCTAAAAATATCAACCTTGAGTGTGTTTTCAATACAAATTGCATGGGTACTTTTATCAGTCCCTCACCCTTCTCATCGATACTTGCTCTGCTAAATTGACATCACTCTTGTTGAGCAGCTTTCGCATTTTACCTATTGAAATATTTCTCATTTTTTAAATTCAATCATTTCTCTCGATTTTCAAATAGCTATAATGTTTGTCTATCTCATTTTCAAGACTCAGCCACTGGGACAGCGTTGTTCTGCATCACAGCGAGATGGCCCATACAGTTGTCGCTAATATGGAGCTGGAAGACCAGCCTGCAGTGAAGAGGACTCGATTGGAACCGGTATCGAACCATTTTTCTCACACACCTCTGCTAAAAGAATGCTGGCAGACAGGTGTAAAGAAATTCTCAACCAACATCTCTGCAAGGGAAACTAAGGCTCTATTATAAACAGAAGGGGACCACTCCATAGTGACTGAGTTGTTATGAACATACAAACAGGTCCAATCTCACAGGTTTGCACCTTTTTGTTGTATTTATTTATTATTATTATTATATTATTATTTTTTATTCGATAACCTCCTACCACTATTTCTGGCATACAGAGGGAGGGGAGGGGGAGAAGTTGTTCTAGAGGTACAACCAAACTTATTCTAACCAGAGTGGGAGGGCTGAGTTTCATTCTGTGGGTCCGCCACGAAATAAAAGTCAACCACTCCCAGGCCAGATCCGAAACAGCGTCGCTAGACACGAGGATGCTAAAACGGGCAACGCTCCAACACACTTAGCTATTGTGACCTCGCACCTCGAGGAATCAGAAGATCAAACAAATACGTTCTCTATGGATTCAATGTGAATTTTCCAATTGAAGACAAGATAGAGAACCTGAAGAGACATCTCCCCGGTTTAAAAATGGCCAGGCCGTTTAGAAGAACTGGAAATGATGGCCGCATCTATGAAACAGAAGTGATATAAATAACTACTCAGCACTATGTCAGTTAAAATCCAACATATCATAGTCCTAGAATACATCGAGCACATGAGATATAGAGTGCGACCCTATTAAGCGACTGGTTCTCCAGTTCAATCCAGGAACTGCCAGTACGGTCACACAATGAAATACATAGCAACAATCCAAGTGCAAATTGTGGCGGCAGCCATTCATCCTTCTTCCGAGTGCTCCCACCAGCAATAACTCAACTTATCCTGACTTATCCAATAGGCCAACTTATCCTCATTAGGAAAGATTCAAAGGCTTGCTTGTATAATGATAACAGGGGCGATGAGCACGACACCAACATGCCTCCGCTGCAGCTGGAGGTGGAGGCTTGGGCAACAAACACATTATACAGGTTAAGCAAGTCAACTTACTGTTCACCAGTCCCCTGTCAAGGACACACAATACTGCTGAACAGGATTAGACGTGAAGGAGTACTAGCTATGCACTCTGACACTCTAATCCGAGAATATCAGGACCGAAAATATAAGGTTGGGATAGATAGCAGCAGAAGTCATAAACCAAATAGTGGAATAAATTGCTATACAGATGGGTCTCTAACAGCCTTCGGCTCTGGAGCAGGCATCTATCGCAAAGATTTAAAAGAAAAAATTTCTATACCACTTGGCAGGTATGCTTCAGTGTTTCAATCTGAAATAATGGCAATCTGCCAGTGTGCACAAAACCTACTGCAAAGCAATGTGACTGAGAAAAAGAGTAGCATCTATACTGACATTCAGGCAGCAATAGGTGCTCTTGACAACTATTATGTTTATTCAAAGGTCGTTAAGGAATGCAATAGAGCACTTAACGAGCTAACTGAGTACAACAGAGTTGCAGTGGAGTGGGTGCCAGGTCACTCTGGCATACCAGGCAACGAGCTAGCCAGATTGGACTCAGATACCATTCCTGTAACTCCCGAGCCTGTCTGTGGAATCAGCCTCAGTACTGCCAAGGGCAGGATCAGGGAGATTTATGGGAACAAATTTAGTAATTACTGAACCGACAAGAAACAGAGACATTCAAAGCTGTTCCTAGAAGGTCCATGTAAAAAAAGAAGTAAACAGATACTGAACATGGACAGAGCAGCCCTTAAAAAGCTTACAGCTATCTATATAGGTCACTAAGCTAAATAATCATATGTTCAATCACCGAGTAATGACGAATCCACTATGCAGATTCTGTCAGGAGGAGAATGAAACAGCTTTTCACATCATATGCAGATGTGATAGATTTACAAGGCTGAGACTGGTGGTATTGGGGAGGATCTCCCCAGAAGATATGAGTCGGTCAATCCAATCAGCCTACATAGATACGCGGAAGCGACAGGATTAACGTTTTAAACAAAACGACTAACTGAAATTGGCGCACAATGGACCCAGTAGGGTCGACGTACTTATGGCCAACATAAAAAAAAAAAAAAAATAAACCAACCCTATGCATGTATAAATTAATTCGTCTGTCTGCTGCATCTTGAAATGCAAAGTTACAATTCCGGTTAAATTTCCTATGTTGTCGGTATTTATGTTAATGTTACGGATGTAATATCGTAAAATTGCATTGAAGAAATAATTTTTACCAGAACTAGCGCCTGAAATAATTCCTACACAGTTAATTTTAGGTTTTTCAAGTAAGGTAGGTCACGTTTTCTATTACATTATATATTTTTTTCAGAAAGTTGGTTACCCGTTCACGGTCCGAGTTATATTGAAAATTTAATAAAAAATCAACTACAGCTATACTCTCTGGTACAGTAAGGAACATTGCATTTACGTCACCATTGTAAGCATTAAATACCGGATTTTTATTTTCATAATACTTTTGAAAATCAAAAAATGTCATATTTGTAAATGTGTGGTTAATTTTTTGTATGGCGCATATAAAATTTATCTGACTTTAATATCAATGAAAACCGTGGATGTTCTTTCCAAACTTTACACAACGTAAGATTTTTAATTGGTGTGCATTCAACGGAATCATATAATGCAATTATATCTAATGGAGAAATGTTTCTTACATTTACTTTTTGTATTTTCAAATGGCCTCCGTCAGTTTCGTCAATTGTTCTAAAGTTTCGACGTCTGTCAGTGGTATTATTACTTTCACCCAAAAAGCCTGGTGTCGCTAGTACAGTGTCTGTGGATACGGTTTCAGGTCATCCAAGTCTGCCAAAGTTAGTGTTACATAAGTCCCAGAATCCGACATCTCCGCTTCCGAGACAGACCATTTCCCTTTCACCAGTTCGGAGATATTGTAAAACCTGTACAAGGCCTTCGTTGGTGTACTCTTCGAGCTTTCGCAACCTGATTTTTTTGTAGCATACAAATTCAATCTCTGATTATTAATAAACATAAGGAAGTATTATTAATTATATAAAATAAAACATCAGTAAATATATTAACTATCAAAAAAGATCAATTTCTAGCTTTAATAAAGAGACATAAGAGAGTAATAAAGAGATTTATTTTGTAGTAGATAGCCCCAGTATTTACTCCTCTATGTGAGGGAATGAGAAGGAATATATGGGAATGTGAGGTTGCACGATGAATTGTACTCAATTGTGCAGTGGACAAATTATTCATTGAAAAGTCTGGTATTGATAAACAATCGATGAAGAAGGAAGAAGGTTGGAATAGGATCGAGCAGGTAGCAACAGCTGGAGAGAAGATAACTCACTCTAGGCCTGGACAGGAAGAAACGAGGTTGTCAGAAGAGAGAGGCACTGCACTGAAGATTAAGAAGAACAAGCCTAAAGTTATAAGACTTTAATAGATTCACTTATTACAGTTGTAAAATAAATAGTTTTATTAGAAAGGAGTGAAAAGTCAGTTATTTATTTAATTGTCCTGTAGGCCTCACAAATGAAGAATAGCAAACCAGGTGAGTCAATTCATTCAAAGTGTGTTTACTAAGTCTCACATTTCATATATATATATATCTTATTATTTCTTGTTACTCAGTGTCACAAAAAGGTATTAGATTTCCGAATTACCGACAGTTAAACAGCCTTAAAAAAGTCTATATTCAGTGCCGGGGATATGTTTTAATAATCACGAGTGTAAATAACCTAGTCCCCGATAAGCAGAAGGAATATTTACAATTGCTCGCCAAAAAAGTCATTCACAATTAAACCTTTAACAGGTTATTTACAATTTTATAAATGATTTACTAAAACATACCTAACTTATCATTGAAGAGTAAAAGAAATTCGAACGCCATAAAAAAAGAAGGATAAAACTGTCAAAGGTACCAAAAAGAATTGTAAATGGGCCAGTGAACAGAGATATTTCATGCATAGACTGAAAATGTAATTTATAACTACAGTAAAAAGGCCTCCAAAAAGAATGATATTTCAATTGAAAGAAGACACATTTAGTTTGTGATATTTTGTGTATTACCAGTTGATAAAATCTACCAAATAATCTTAAAGTTATACTATTTTTAAGTAGTTTTGATGATCATAGGTTAGTGAACTATTTAATTACAATATTTTAAAACTAATTTTTCAACTTTCTTCCATCATTCACAAATAAGCCTAACAATAAAAAAAATAAAGAAGAAATGAATGAATACAAATTTGGTAAAAGAGAAAATGATAATAAAAGGCAAAGAGTCATAAAGAATATAATCAATTGATTAAAGAAAGAAAAAGCTAACTAACAGTATACAAGAACTCTTATTGTATACACGCTTCATATTAAATGATTAAAATATTCAGATTATTTAGAGTGATAAAACTAATTATAAAGTAAAAACAAAAATATATATTCTCATTAATAAGATAAAAACAGAAAATAAATCATATCAAAAAAATAAACACATATATATCCTATACATTTTTAGCTCCTAATATAATTACAATAATTCAAAATATATACATTAAAATGAATTTAAAAGTAATACGTGCCTCTTAGTATCCAATCAAAGAGGATAAATCCTAAACTAGAAAACCTTAATTCAATAAAATATTTTTAACAGATTTTGGATATTTTATTTGAATACCCAGCTGAGAGGCGTAATTTTCCACTGCCGGGATTCTTAGAACACTATTTCCACTCCCTTCATCTTCAATAACTTCAACTTCTGTCCTCAAAGTAGTTAAATATTCCTTAAGTTTAGAAGCTTGAGGTTCTGGCACTTTCTCTGAGAGACCTATATATAGGAATTACAAAAGAATAAAATAAAAATTGAATAAATTATCTTCATAAAAAAGTGATGAATGCAATATTTGAGCAAAATCATATCTTTTATTCTATTTACTAGTTTACACGGCCACACACGGCTCAGTTTAACAAAATGGAAAAGAAAGAAAATAGAAAGCATTACTTATGAGTGGATTAATACCAAAGGACATCTATCATTTTTAAAAAGTTGAGAAACAAATTTGTCTGTAACATTGCTTCAATTTCAACTAATTCTAATGATTTTTTTTTCCATGATTCAACTTGAACATTCTTAATCATCTGAGCGAATACGCCGCCATTCTTAACCATCAGAAACAGTCTGAGTTGAACTTATAAAACTAAAATTGACTTTACCTCCACTTTCTGAAAATGACAGAGATCCGTCTTTGATATGAAGCCACTTATATATTTTCATGTTTAATTTTATTATTATTATTATTTATATTTAATGTATTGTTTAATGTTCAACTTTGTGTTGATTATTTTATGGCAAATAAAAATTTAAATGTTCGTTTGTTCAAACTCTTAAATATTGGAAAGTTCTTCACACATTGCCTTGAAATTTTGACTTAACGTTGAATTTAAATACGCGCGTGGTTTAATATACCTACTATTATTAAATATAAGGTGAAACTATACATATTTATTAAAAATGCACCATCAGTTGGATGTAAAAGCAACATATGCGGTTCAAAATATTTTACGATACTGTTTCAATTTTAAAGATTTTCAAATATCAAACTGCATTGAAATCGCGCTATACCATTTACCATAGCGTTCATTTCGTGTACATTAGAATTACCTTCTATCTCCCTCAAAAGATTTGCACATCCCTCACAAGATACTTCATTGCTTGCTTCTTCTTAATAACAACTTGATTATATAAATATAGTTATAAAAATTGTTGTGGAAAAATAAACCTTACTCATGGAAGAAAATGGCACAACCTTATTAAAACGTTATGTTAAAGAAAATAATTTATAAAAAAATAAAATTAACTGAAATCAATAAAAAATTAATTTCTAAAATTATGATAAATTTAATCAAATTTATAATATGATGCACGCATCACACAACACTCTCTTGTCAGAAATTAGTATTCTCAGACAAAGGGGAAGTGAAAGTAAAAACTATAGACCCTATATTTATTTATATTTCATTGTGGGTATTTTTATTTATAGGCTCCAGGGCAGAATAGGCTCCTCCATAGGTCTTAACCGGCTCTCTAAAATAGCAGTATATAATTTGTAAACCATGGGAGGCAGGAAAACAGGTCTGCAATTGGAGCTATCACTTTGACTTCCTTTCATGTGAATAGGGATTATCACGTTGTACTCCCATTCCCGAGGAATTCTTTCATCATCCCAAACCCATTGAAAGAACTTTTGCAAGGCTCCTACTAACTTCGGTCCTCCATATTTAAGGAAATCTGAGATCACATTGTTTCGGCCTTCTGCTTTCCCTGTCTTCATCTTCGCAATAGCCTTTACAACTTCGTCCTCTTCAATCTGGTACTTTCCTTGATCCTCCACCTCAGGTTCCCAAACAGGATGATTCCCATATTCTGTATTACTCTTAAACTGTCTTGAGAAGTATCGATGCCAAGTTTCTATCTTTTCCCTCTGATACCTGATCTTTTTTCATTCTTTATGTTTCTTATATGTTTGGGTTTCCTGCCTCTGAGAGTCTTGATTTTCTTCCAAAGAGTTTGATACTTTCCTTATGATCAATATTGATAGATCAACCAAACTCCTCTCATGTTTTTCTTTTTTGCTTCTCTCAATGCCACTTTCACCTTGTTTCTTGCGTCTTTGTAAAGCTTGCAGATGCTTCGGTTTCTTTCTTTACAAAATGTTTTTCTTCTTCCTAATAACAACTTTAAGTTCCTCATTCCACCAGTCAGAACACTTCCATTTAGCCGACACTTTCTTCATACCACACACTTTTGTCACCATTCCAATATTGCTGCTTTCGGATATCCAGGTCTTTATCAAAGTTCAGCTCTAGTAGCCAAACGAGAACTCTTCGTTATAATCCACTCGTTTCCAAGAATCTTGCAGCTGCTTAATTTCGATTCTTTCAAAGGCTTTGAATTGAGGCGTCTTTATGGAAGGAATTCTGTCTGGCAATCAGAAATATGTTATAAATTCCAATTTCAGCCCCTTGCATGATCTTAATATCTGTAAAATAGCTCCTTATTTCTCTGGTGTATAGAAAGTAGTGCTACTTAAGGTACTATTTCGCTGGTGCGGTCCATGACCCCGACTGCTCGCGGTTGGCCACTGCTTTAGTGGAATAGAAAGGAACCTATTTCGCTGGCGCTGCTCGGCAGTTTAGGTATGACGTCATATCTAAGCTGCTCGTATCTGACTCCTCTTGAAGCAATGGAGCTGTTGGCGGTTCGGCGGTTGTAGGTTATGTTATCATATCAGAGCATTGTTTTGATGATAACAGTCCCGTCGATACGTTTTATTTCCTATGTTTCTTTCAAGTCTGGCAAAATTATAACAAATATTGTTTAAAACTTAAACAATGCAATAGTAAATTATTTTTTTGAGGTTGAAGTAACAAGATTATTTATTTATTTAATCCACCAGCAATATTTTACAGCGAAATACAAATATACCTAAATCCAAACGATATTAAATAAATTAAAAAATCCAACAAATTTTATTGTCAGGTAAATACTAAAATCCACCCATTAAAAAAACGATTTGTATTTTTTAACTAAAGTGGTGAATTACTGATTACTATTGATAAAACTACAAAACATCGCTTGCTGAGATTTAATTACAACTATATGATATTTATTACTAACCAATTATGTATTAATTACTATTATTTTTCAAACTAATAATATGTAATATCAGAGGAACTTTGATGATGAGCATCACATCGAAATACTGATATTCCTTCTCTTTATGAAGAACATTTTCTCTTCTTTTTCCAACTCAAATAAAAAAGCGGTAGTCAGAGATGTTCATTATTATAGGAAGTTCATTTTTATTCTTATATTATGTCCATCTTTTTATCTTCGAAGATACAGCGAAATGTTCGAAGGTTATAGGCAGGTTATAACAACTTCAGTGAGCAGTTTCAGCGAAATAGGTACGCCAACAGCGGTTGGCAGGGGGGAATAGCGGTCGCTGTCGTCGACCGCGCCAGCCAAATAGTACCTTTAAGCTTCTTTCCAGTGCTGAGAAGGTTATCTTGTGGACCTGTTTTGTGGATAAAAAGAGTCACCGATGAAAAGATCATTGTCAATGCAGAATTCTGATAGGCGTTGTCCGTTTTTGTTTAATATCTTCTAGCCTCTATGGTAAACCATACATCCATGGGCTCTGCTGTGGTCTCTTCCGTTCCTCACATTGAGGTCTTCCATGACTATTAAATTACTATTTATACATTTCTCAATTACACGAGCGAGGTCTTTGTAGAATTGTTCCACTTCCAAGACAAACGAGTCCTCAGTTGATGCATAGACCTGCACCAGAATAACTTTTCCCACCGAGATCTATTAATCTAGAAGTAACTGGTACCCAATCTAGAACTTTCTAAAACTACTAAAATCGTAAAATGAAAAATGTAAATAATGAAATAATTCATTTATTGCAAAGTTTCTAGTTTATTATATTTTTGATGGCATACATAATATGCAATATACAGTATACTGCGAATTATCATATTTTTTAAGACATTTCATATGATTTAATTATTTATTATATGACTTTATATGATATATTTTAATGGTTTTTGTTGCATATAAATCCAGACCTTAGTAATAACAAATTTAAATAATTATATTTTTTTTTTCATTTTAAAAGGTAATATTCTGGAAGGGATTAATAAAACTTGCTAAAAAAGAATATAATATAATAAGCTTACCATAAATTTCACAGCACTTTAGGACAGCTGGTGCTTCCATAAATTCTGGTACCATTTTGCGGATGCATCTGTGCAATACTTCACCAGAGTTCCCATAATCAAAATAAAATACTTCAGCTGCATTATGCTGATAAGATTTAAGGCATAAAGCTCTATACCATTTTCCATCCTCTGAAACAAGAATATATAACCAAAATTATAAGACCTAAGATAAAAAAATATAGACATTCTCATTTAATCTTTATTAACATTATAAGTGTCAGAATTTTAATGAGCATACCTAGAGACCCTTCAATTTATGAAAACTATTATTTTAATATAATTAAAATATATACAGCAAAATATATAAATTTTAATATAATTAAAATATATACAGCAAAATATATAAATTTTAATACTTAGAATTTCCGATATGAATATAATATATTTTGAATGGTGTAGAGATGGTTGACCGTGATGATTATGATATGAAAACAAAATAAAAAAAAAGCTATGAGAAGGATTTGGTCGTGGGTGCAATCAAATAAATACAATAAACTAGAATAATATTTTATTAGTTAAGCCTGAAATTATTAATTAATTAATTATTAGGGCATAACTAATAAAATGGTATTCTAGTTTATAGTATTTCTTTGACCCCACCCCCGACCAACTCCTCATATCAAAATCATCAGGGTCTACCATCTCTACACCCTTCAAAATATATTATATCCATATCGACATATAGGACACCGACCTATACCCAGGTTTTGAATTGAATGAGTTTTGAAACCTCACAATTTTTTAATGAATTTTATTGTAGTTGTAGTAAGGTTGTACATTTGGAAATATGAATAGGTCACTTTTCCATGGAATTACCTTTTGTTTAATATATGATTTATCAAAATCCATCGCTCCTGTGAGGTAGAAAAGGATTTTATACTACCATATAAATCAGGATCTTACTAACAATCTATGTAATCTATTGTTTTGTATATGTTTGTGCTTTGTAATACTATAGACGACAATAAAAGAAGGTGTTACTCCATGACTCTGAACACACAATATGAGAAAATGTATTTTCACAACGTATTGAAATTAAAAATTTATTTTAATACATACAAAAAAATTTAAATATATTAATACTATTTAGATAATCAATCTAGATATAGATACATATAAGACATACCATGAAATTTAGCCAAACACAATTCTGACCTTCGGGGATTATATGGTTCATTTGGCTTTGACTCACAATATTCTGTGATCATAGGAGTGAGTGTTCGCTCAACATGATTAAGAAGCCCTGACCCAGGACGCAATGCCAGAACAGTATCATGTCTTATGACAGACGCAACGACAACCTCAAACTTACTTCTCTCATTCCATACTTCATATTTTATTTCACTTCCCATGAAAATGTGAGTACCTGTAAGTAATTATTAAACACATTAACTAATTATAATTTTCTTCAATTTATATTCAATATACAAGGTGTCCCGTAAGTAGGGAGAAATTTTTATATGAGTAATAGCAGACCTCAAGGTCTATAAAAATGTACATATTATAAATGATTGGCCAATTGTCATAAGAAAAGTAGGAAATCCAAGTTTACTGTTTTTTTAAGTAAGGCATACTTTTTGATGAATAGGAAGCGATAACTAAAGAAATATTTAATTTAAATAATTGAGAATTGTTAAACTAGATAAAATTTTCTTCAAATGATAATTGTGCTTGTCATTGATTGTTAAAGTCACTTAAAAGAGGACTTTTGAGCGGATAAACTTGGCTAAGTTTGGTATTTACAAAAACCATAAATTATTGCCAATTTTTTTGTTTATCATTAAACAACTGTACTACAGATACTCCACTTTTAGAAAAACTTTTTTCTTTTATAAGCTTCAAGTCAATATTAGTTAAATTGAGTTTTATTAGGTAAAAAATGCAAAACTATGCAAAATATACAAGACATACCCAGCAAAATCTTATCTAATGATGCGGATATTCTTGAAAGATAGAGGCAGAACTATTCTCAGGTCTTTGAAGAAACTAGAAGAGTGGGAGATGAAGAAGAAGTGGAAGCAGCTGTGGAAAGACTCCAGACAGGGAGAGATGGCATTGCTCCTGAATTCATAAAACATGGAGGGAAAAGTATAATAAGGGTAATTCAAGCTCTATTCCAAAAAGTTCACGAAGAGAAACCCAAGACCACATCTTTGCTCCAAGGACAATTATAGAAAAAGCGTGGGAACATGACAAAAATATGTATTTGGCCTTTTTAGATATAAAAGTAGATTTTGATTAGGTGCCAAGGGAAGAAATATGGAATGTACTGAAAAATAAGAATATCCCAGGAGACCTTATCCAAGCAATGAAATCGACATATAAAGATTGTAAGGGTATAGTAAGGATCAATGGGAAGGAATCAAACAGCTTTAATATGAACAAAGGGGTCAAACAAGGCGACAGTGTCAGCCTCTACTATATATTGTGTTCCTGGATGAGATTCTGAAAATCTGTAAACATAGGACTGGAAGAACAATTATAGTAAAATGGAATATGAGAACAATTCTAGCCCAAGCTCTCGTTTATGCAGATGATATTGTCCCCATAACAGACTCATCTGCAAAATTACAGCAAGCGATTGTGGAATAGGAAGCTGAGCTTGAGAGAAAAGGTATGATTATAAATGAAGAAAAAAGTAAGATTATACAGATAGGTCGAGAAATCGAAGACATACAAATAAACTGTAGAGATAAGAATCTGGAGTTGGTAGAGGAATATACGTACCTAGGGACAGTTGTAGGTAGAAATGGAAAAATAGATCAAGAGATATCAAACAGGATCAGCTTGTTCATTACCCTCAATCCCACAATGTGTGCCTTTACTCATTTTAGAGTAACTTTTTTTCTATAGTTTTCAGTATTAATAATTGGTTTCTAATTTGGTCAGTAAAATAATCATGAATGACTAAATTATTAATACTAGTAGAACTTTGTTGTCTGCATTTATAGTAACATGTGTGTTCGTTTGTAGAGGGTAGTTATAGGGTCAAGTGGTCAAACTGCAAAAATGAACTAAGCACCTCAAAACAAGAAAAAAATTTCCTCTGAAGGTATCTCCGCAAACACTTTGTTTATGAGATATTCATACCTAAAGATTAACTGCTTCATTAATTAAATGTAAACATTAACATTCATATTAAATGTTGTTCAAAGTGATTTTCTTGAGCATGAAGACATGCTCGTCATCTTTCTTTAACACCAGCAGTAGCAGAATGGCACTGGATATGTGAGATTGTTTCACAAGATTCAATTATCCTTCTTCGTAAGGAATTAAGGCCATTGAGCAGACTTGCATAGAATTTTTGTTTAATGTTACCCCCCAAAAAAAATTCACACACATATATATATACACACACACAGACAATCGATTTGTAAATGTCATGAATAAAAAATATGTATGTTTAAGTTTAAATCCACAGTACATATATACATACATATATATAATATATATATATATATATATATATATATATTATATATATATATATATATATATATATATATATTTTTTTTTTTTTTTTTTTTCAGTTGGTGCTACAGACCAAGAAAATCTTTTACTACAACATGTAGTCTCCTTGACCACATCCCGATTCCAGATTTAAGTACATGGGGTAGGGTCACCAGTCCAACGCCAGGTCAGTGTGAGTAACCTCCAGTAGCCTTATGACCTCACATTCCAGGGAGGGGGGAAGAATCTTGGGCAGTGTGGCTTTCCCTGGTGGTCAGTCACCCATCCAAGTGCTAACCACGCTCATCATTGCTTAACTTTGATTACCTATAGTAATCGCCTTAATCCGCATGGCTACCCCAGCCCATATATATATGACAGGTAGTTTATTGATAACTAGTTTATCAATGAATTAATTCAGATTTATAAAAAATATATCTTTTAATTATTACTGTTTCAAAACAAAAGTTGTAAATAAAAGTTAGTATTATTCAAGTAGTCACAGTGTTTACTTCATTACCTTTTACTTTATTTTTTTTATTCCTATATTACTAAGTAAGGGAACGTGGTAGCTCAATGGTAGAGCACTAAGTTTCCAATGCTGAAGTATGCATATTATATATAAACTATATAATATATACAAAAAACATATATACATTTTTATTCTTGACATTTATAAATTAAATAAATAAAAATACAGCCAATAAATTTAAAAAGAGAAATATAATGACAAGAAAAGAATTGTGGGGAAACTACCCATTGGTAGCACTCCAATAAAAGTTCTACAGGAGGAGGTTCCGAGACGATCTTCTACTTGTTGAGATATAAATATCAATCATAGTAATAAAATCAATTACTTAGGAAAAAGATATATCATGCAATGGAATACTTACGCAAAGGATTGAAACCTGGCTTGGTCCAGCTAGGTTCTAACAAGTTAAATAAAACTTTATTTACATTATCTCCCTCCCTCAGCTCAAGTGTTACCTCCCGCAAGTCTTTTTCATAGGTCTAAAATAAAATAAAAAATTAATAAAAAGTAATATATTATTTATTTTTAAATAAAACAAATATAATTAAGCCAAGTAGAACACTTACTATAAACATTTCTATCATATTAGCAGCAAGTTCATTTAGAAATTTCATACACTGTGTATTAAATGCAATATTCGGAACATTTTTGAGGCCTACTTTAACAGCACAACATGGAACCTGCAAAATGTTTTAGGAGGATTAAAAAAAAAATAATAATAATAATAATAACAATTTACTGTAGTAGACTTAATTAAATAACAAGATTGGGAACTTTCTTCTATTTGTATTGAAATGAAAAAAGTTCTTTAAAGTAACTGATTTAAATATCAGAATCAAAATCCATTAAAGAATATAGTACAGAAAATGGAGGTGAGGATATAACACATGAGCAAAAGGCACCAAATAAACCTGATAAACCGAAGATTTAAGTGATAGAATAATTACAAGTTATCTCACCAGCTATCTCCCCATGTCCAGAAAAACCCCATACGCCGTAACGGTGAGGAAAAAAGAGCAAAGAAAATGTGTCTTCCTCCAAGGTTGGATTTGAGCATATACTGAAGTGTAAATAATGAATCGGGAAGAAAACAAATACAAAGAACTACATTAAATACAAATAATGTATGTATGAATAAATGTAAATTATTTGATCCCTTCCCTGCCTAAGCAAGGGCTCAAAATAAAGTAAAATATCATGAAGAAGTGGCACATACAAATTTCTGTCTTTAAATTTGTACCACAACTTTAATAAAAGTCATTAAAAATAGGTTTTTTAACACTAACATTGATTAGTCGACGAACGATGGGACTAATTGTGTTTTAAAGATTTCGAATCGGACATCAAGGGATCTAACCATTCGACACTGACATCCTATCCTGAGTTTTTAAGCCTCAACTAATTCCAATGATAGTCTCATAGATGCTACGGGATACTAATCACAAAGAATTGAGGTTTTAAAATATATAAAAAAGATCGCTATCTATTATATTCTTAAGTAAAATAAAAATTAAACAAAAGAAAATAACTGAGAGATATGTAGGGTATCTCAGATAATATAAAAATGTTTTACTAGTGTCCAGTTTTGACCTATTTTCATTAACTATTTTCTCACAACTTTGTGCCTATAGGGCAAATTCAATAAAACAATCACTAATGTATTATTGATATAATTTTAGATGATGAAAAAGAGGACCAAGATTCCTCCAAAAGATACAAATTAATAAACAATAATTAACAATCTGAGAGTGATTATTCTATTTAATTCGAACAATAGTCAAGAAGTAGTAAGAAAATAAAAACGTAATAAAAATAATCATGGATAATTTTTTTTATTTTCTTGTTTGTTAATTCTGTTACGGCTCATATATTCCACTCTTTACAAATGTGAGAACTACTAACTAAAGTAGCTAAGCTACTCCTTAATACATACCATTATTATACACCCCTACCCCCTACCTATGTCCAATGCATTGGACACTGCTATCATGTTTTAGTAACTTTCGCCCCTCCTCAATATTTCTCCAATTCTGGTGCCTATGCCTATAGGCACCCTGAACCCCAACCTGGGGGTTAAGTTAAGAAGCTACTTCAGATACAGGAGTCTTCTAATATTTAAAATCTCAATACCTAAGGACAGTCCTGCAATCCTTGGTGCAGTATCTCACAATATCAAGGCAGTAAAATACAGTTCATATCGAAAATGTGTTTGGCTCAAAATCAGTTAATCAAAGGTGGTCTTATTGTAGCTGCAGAACACCCTTTTAACTAAATTGATCATTCTTTTTAGAAATATTGAACCATTGTATCTAACAACATATGATAATTAACTACAATTATAAAGGCATTTCTGGTAAAGATCAACATCAAGATCAAGGAAGGGATTGGAGCCTATTAGGATTGCCTTTGTCTTTTTCAGCTTGTTAGCTCCTGTCCAGTCACATATTATATTTAGTCTTCTAGAAGATTTTTTGTGGAGGCTAATAAGTCAGAAGGGAGGAAGGACAGATATATTTGGAAATCGTCGGTGTTGGATTTACATCCAAAATTTTATTGTATACAGTATCTTAAATTATCGTTGTATAAACAACATGGGGAGACCCCCGGTCTCAACTTGCACTACCCCCTCTCTAAGACGGCCTTATCTGCGGCCAAAGAACAGATGCTAGCGAGCGAAGTTGGTAAAAGGACTGCTGACGACCTATCTCCTGACCAGACCTCCAGAACCACAGCCCTTCGGCTAATTTCTGGACCCAGAACGGCGGAGAGAGAGAGAGAGAGAGAGAGAGAGAGAGAGAGAGAGAGAGAGAGAGAGAGAGAGAGGAGAGAGAGAGAGAGAGAGAGAGAGAGAGAGAGAGAGAGAGAGAGAGAGAGAGAGAGAGGAGGAGAGAGAGAGAGAAGAGAGAGAGAGAGAGAGAGAGAGAGAGAGAGAGAGAGAGAGTTGATATCTCAGAAGGAGGTTGATCTGAAACGACTACATACTGGGATCGATCGGAAAGGAGGGATTTGAACCATCGCAGGACACTATTGGATAGAGGAAGATTTTGCAATTTAGTAAAAAGGATGTTATGGTCAACTCGTCGGGGGGAATCAAGGACAAAGGGCTCTGAGGAAGGCCTAAACTCAGAGTAACGGTTGACTAGTAATGGGTTAAATAACTGGTAAAATAATTGTACACAAACCGAAGTTAAGGACCAATAAAAATCATCCTTGCCCCATCCTGAATATTTGTATAAAATCTTGTGGATGGAAAAGCTCGAGGTCTAATGTCTTTTTTTTTGGCCTTGAAGACTGAAGATGCAGCTTGGTAGACCGACCGGGAAGATGGGTGTCCTGACCGATTTTGGGCCTGGGCTTTGGCTGGACAAGGAGATTAAATCAGCAGATGCAATGAAGAAACCTACTAACTAAACCACTTCATGAATCATAGCTAAGTTTTATTCCCAATAATAGATTTATCAATGTTAGAATATTTCATGGCAATAAAACTGTCAAAACAGTCCATCTGAAATCATATCTTTACAGTCATCGATTAAATTGATTGAACCCAGTATTTAGTTTCTTGTAATTATAAGTTGTATATATAGTTTATTAAACATCAGAATAAAATAAGTTTTTTTAATTTTGCCACCCATTTATAACATGATGATCATAGGTAATGTTGGTAATTAGAAAGCGTGATAAACACAAACCAGCCTTTGAGAAAAGAAATTCAATTAATTAACCTTGGACCAATCAATATATTATAGATTCAAATTCCTTTTACTAATCTTTTATTATTAATTTTTATTAAATAATTCTGGATAATTATCATCAATAATTATCCAGTGGCATCCCGAATAATGTTTACTCCAAAACATAGCATAACGTTTTGGTGTTCAATGGAGTTTTGGAGGTCATGGATTATTTTAAGAAAGGCAGATTGCGTTGAAAAGGCAGGTCGAAAGCCAGATTGGAATGGATTGATGAGGGAACATTCTTCTAGGAAGTTGGAAAGTTGATTTTGAACAAGGCATTCAGTGAAGACGAGTTAGAAATTTCATTCAAAGGTCGGACTAGTAGTTTTCCAGGAAGTGGAGAATATGGAATTTTGCAATGAAAATTTGTAGAAATGGTAAAGTACGGAAATAAGGGTAGGAAGATTTTATTAGTTTTAATAACTTTATATGGGCTAAATAGAAAAGATCATCCTACCCTTTTCAAGTGATCTGGCAGTTGCTTCATATCAGACAGACTAACTAGTTCTGTATTGCCGTAATCAACAAAATTTACTTTGTACTTGTCGCCTTCTTTTTGAAATACTTGTGCTCGGTAATAATAACCATCTTCAATATACCGGCATGCCAAAAATTCACCCAGTAATGGATTCCTTTTTAAAGGTTGGCCTGCTCAAAAAATAAATAATTTAAATATAAAAATGAGATTCATATATAAAAGTTATTATTAGGAGTGTGAAGTAGGACAAATAAAAAAAAAAAAAAATTAAAACTCAAACCTTTTGTATATGATGCAACATCTTGTAAAATCTCACTACAAATTGTCTTATTGGCTGGATCACAAGATTGAACATAAATAGCCGATGGTGAGTGGTAAGCTGAAATCTGAACTTTCGATCCAGATGATATCTTAATACAATCAAGACCAGCATCTTCAAATGCAGGTACCCAGGGTAATATAATTACCTTTCCAAAATCTTCAATTTCCCCATGTACATGATTATTCTCATGATCATAGCTAACATTTTTAATACTAACAGTTTCACCAGCCTTAAAAAAAAAAAATTAAAAATAGTAATAATAACTGAATAAAACAGACTAATAAATGTTTGAGAAGTGTGTAGTAGTTAATTAGATTTTAACAGCAGATTGAGAGGAGAAATGAATACTTACCATATTCTTGTTAAGAATAGGTTTTTCAAAAATGACTCTAACACCACAGTCAGGAATGTTGATAACTTTTTTAGGTAATTCTGCTACATGATCTGGTATGATAACAATACCTTTGTCTACCAGAGCTACCACTGGATTTCTATCTCGCACAATCATTAAATATCCTCTATACCAATTATTTTTCCATTTTGCTGCGAGCATCTTTCCAGGAATTAAGCTGAGAAAAAAAATTTTTTTTTTTAAAATTCATTATAAAACTTGACAGAGGAAAAATAAAATACACAGATATAATTTTGATATCCCCGCAAGGACTAGGTGAAATGCACAGTTAATGGGAATTAATGATCCTCCGGTTTCCAGACTTCAGCAGTACTCTGCATTAATACACATAGAACTGTGTACTTATACTCATAATAGGTCACCTACACTACACTCCCTAAGGTCACCTTCCTTAGGTAGCCCCGCAAGGGGGAAATAGTCAGGGTGTTCTGAGGAAGCAGCACTTTCGACTGAATCGGGAGCAATAGGCTGATCATCGACTCTCCTTAAAGTAGAAGCCAACTGTCTCAAAGAGAACGACTAAGGAACCACCATATTAACTTAAAATTAGCCTACTGGAACATTTTATCTCTCTATACACTACGGGTGTTTAGAGCGCTCCTTATGGAACTTGAAAAATATAAAATAGATGTAGCAGCAACCCAGGAAGTCCACTGGCAAGACACTCAAAAAGAAATTCCACATTCTTTAATACAGTTGGGAAACCTGCTGCTTCCATGAGCTACTGACTGCCTCTAAACATTGTCGTGGTTTTTATTATTCTAGTGCTAGAATTAATTATTATTTAGGTTAGAAACATTGAAAATGAAAAGAATCAAGTGGTGTGAAAAAGTCTTCAAACAAACAAAATTTTAATAAAAATGATAGTTTTAAATTTAAAAATGTTTTTATCTCTTTGATTGTAAACTTGTTTAGCCAGGCAGACATTTTAGATATAATATACATTTAAATTAGCATTAATTTCAATTAATATCAAACCAAGGGAACAATCCGTTATATTGAAGCTCTTATTTCTTCTGAATAATGCTACCTTATTGTTTGTATTTCACTACTTTGTTATTCAATACAGTCTTTACTTTTTATTTTAACGTTAAGAGCTGCTGTATAAATTCTGTAAAGCTTAGTGAATATATGAACATTGTTCTAATATTGGAATTCTATACTTTTTTTCGGTAATTTAACTTAACAATTCCATAAGACAAAATTTTTTTTTTTTATTATATAATGTTAATTTTGTTTAATAAAGTGACAAAATACCATATTCTTTATAGTTATCTTGCTAAAAAGTAAAGTTCTGCCCAATCTGATAAAGCCCAAATGGAATGTAAGGATGCTATGTTATCGCTTTGCATCCAATTTTTTGTATATTCACAAGAGATTTCCAACTCCAGATGTAAAATAACACCTCTAAACCGTTTAAAAGCCACCTCTGTGTTTTACTCTTAGTTTTAAACATTCATCCGAAAGTTCCACTCCAAATCTTCTCAAAAATACTGTCCCTTTCCCAAACCAAACATTTAAAATGTTGTCACATCTCTCGATAAAAAAGTGAAGAATTCCAATATTAGAACAATGTTCACAGATACATTAAGGTTTACAGAATTTCTACAATGGCTCTTAATGTTAACAATAAGAGAGAATTATTCAGTGGACAAAATAGCATAAATATGACAAATTTATGGTTCGATGTTAATTGAAATTAATGCTAATTTAAATATATATTACCTATAATGTCTGCATGGCTAAATACGTTTACAATCAAACAGATAAAAGCACTTTAAATTAAAAAAAAACAAACATAATTTTTATAATAAATTGGTTTGTTCGAAGACTTTTTCACACCACTGTATGTGTAGTATAACATCTATGTTTGTATTTAATTCGAAATAAAGATAGCACCAGAACAATATAAAAAATCTAGTGCGCACAACACAATTTTCACTTACCCCTCTACTTTGAATAGAAATTTAGAAATTAGGGGAGTGGGGTAGCTCAGTGATAGGGCACTGAACTTCCAATGCAAAGGTCCCAGGTTCGAACCCAGGCTCATGGCAGAAAATTTCATCATCTGTTTCATTGGCCGTGGGGCGACCCTGGGTCAGGAGAGCCCCCTGTAAAGTGGGTACCCAGCCTCTGTAAAGTGGGTACCCTTAATTAAACAATTAATTAAGGGGGACCCCAGACCCTTCATGGGTTGTAGTGGCAAAGGTTTTTTTTTTTTTTTTTTTTTTTTTTAATATAGAAGTTATATTCTGGCAATGACGAGTTGTTATAAAATTTTTGAAGTGCATTTTAAACAGTGCTAAAGCCTAAAGCTTACAGCTAACAAATCATAGGCAATAAAAACCTCATAACTCCATCTATTTTTGTAAACCACATAACTCGGAAACTCATAATTTATTTCTATCTAGTTACACCCTGATTCTGCAAGCTTCAAATTAAGGGTAAGTTCTATAGCTTCACCACTATTAATTGCCATATCCCAACAGATGAACAAGAAAAAGATGTTGATGAGCAAGAAAAAGAAAAATTCTATGAGGAACTTGGAAGTCATGGATACATGCCTTGTGTATAATATCAAAATTGTTGTTCAAGACTTAAACACAAAGATTGGCGGAGAACCTGCATACAAGTCCAACGGTCTACACACGGAAAGCAACAATAATGGTCATTGAATAATAAGTTCTGCTACGAATTATGGACTAACCCACTACTCTCTTTTCAGAATGAAGATCTACAAAGCAATCTGCAGAATCCCCAAGGGCCTTGTAGCTAATCAAATAGATTATCTCTTGATTGACTCTCACTATAAATTCAATTTGATGAATGTCAGATCTATCTGAGGAGTAAACATGAACATGGACCATTATTCAAGCATAGCCAAAAACAGAGGAAGGATATTTGTTACCAGTTTCTCTAAAAGTCATTTTATAATAACATATAACATCGATAAGCTCAAGGAGACGGATATCAAATAAGTATCAGAACTGTCTCAAAGAAGAATTTGTAAAAAGGATAAATTCATCTGCTGATAGCATTGAAGAACTTTAATAAAGCCAATGAATGAAAACTGAAAATGAACATAAGATTAAAAAACAGTTAATTGCACATTTATACAATTTTAATCAAGATCATTAGAGCCAAATTAGAAAAAAAAAATAATAATTTGTTGTAAAGTGCCACCACTGGTAAACAACTTTTAGTGAAAAAGTTGCTGTAACATTCCAGGATACCTTTAACATTCCACATATTTATCTTGATAATTCAGTTTCTTACGACTTTTTATTTTTGAACGAGACAATCACATACATAAAGACACACATAAAAACGCAGTGTGAAAGGAGATGGTTGTAAAGGGTAAGAATCCTGTACACAAATAGGAACAGTCCTATTCATGTCTTTTGAAAATTCCCATCTAGCCTCATTAAAAAAAAAAAAATACGCAGACCACTTTGCGAGAATTGGAGGAACCCAAAACTTTCCCTTTGATTTTCATTAATAGGTAAGTGAAAGTAAAAATGTAATAGATGTATACTTCAAATAATACATTTATAATAACATATACATCCAAGGCATGCTTTTCTCACAATAATAATTATGTTTATGTGATGAAGAATAAAAAAAAAATATTTTCATGGTATAAATAATAAACTTTAAGGTTCTAGCCAAGATAACATAAAAAAGATAATTACATAAGCTTACTTCATATTACTGTCTGGAACTACTTCCTCCCCGATTATTTTTGAAATTTCTTGATAAACAGGGATCTGACCACTGACTATTATTGATCCAGTAAGAAATTCTTCATTCATAATTTTTCCAATCACAAGTGTAGCAGAGTCATTATTTTGAAGCAAAGAAAGGAAGTGTGAGATTTGTCTGTAAGAAAAAAAATGAAATTGAAAATAAAATAAACAGAAGAATATGGTTAAAATAAAAAAAGTTGTTAAAATCTGTGTTTCAAGAGAATTTTTTATTCATCATTAAATTTCAAGCAAATTTTTAAAGTAAATAATAAATAAACAAATAATTTAGGACATACATCTAAGAGATTATAAATATTCATATAATTAAATAATTACATTCTAACAGAAACATTCCGGACACATGTATTCATCCCAATGATAAAAAAGATATTTTATAAATTAAAACATTATGCATGGATTTTTATATTGTTATATACCACTGATTTTTTTTCTCAAGTAAAATTATATAATTATATTATGATTTTTTTAGCTCAATAAAAAGCCATTGAGCTAAAAATGTGTTTTTCGGACTCAGGGGGCTGTGAAACGTATAGATCCGTCAAAAACCGCATGTCGGAAATTTGACCTGATTGCAATACTTTCCTTACCTAGTACAGGTAGGAGGAGCTCAAATTTTCAGTCCAGTCCTCTAGGCTGGATAGTGCTGCTCTCCCTCCTATGGCGATTATTTTACAAATTATACAACTGTTCATTTTGTGACTAAGCAAAAGCTCAAGAAAGAAGGCTTGGCAGGAATCCCAGAATACCTAGGGGTGAGGAATGTGGAAAACTCCAACAAGTAGAAGAAGATAATCCGGGAGGGTACTATTGAGGAATAGAGCCGTCGGTGGGTGACAACTCAGAAAGGGAGTACCCTTAGGAAATACTTCCCCACCATACAATCTCGGCTAGATGAGCAATGGGTTCTCCTGGACTTTTTTTTTTTTTTTTTTTTTTTTTTTTTTTTTTTTTGGTCCTTCCCTTCCTCGCCTTTAAGGCTATACGGGATTTTCCCGGGCCAGGGAGTGTGGGCGGGGATTTAAAAGACTCCCCCGGCACCGGGACGCGAACTCGTGACTATTTTTATATCTTTAATTCATATGTCAGGTTGCCAGGCGACGGCGGTGCAGTGCACACGCTTTAACCCATTCGGCTACCCCGCCCACTGGGTTCTCCTGGACTATTGGGTTTCACCCCAATTCCTTACGGGGGCATGGGGGTTTTCGGGATTAGCTACATAGCTTTGGCCAAGATACAGATATGTCCCAATTGTGGGGCTCTGGACACTATCAAGCACATGGTCACGCCCTGCACTGCATTTGAAGGAATAAAGGCAACAATGATCAGAACCACGGGAATTTACATCCTAACTGAAGATGAATTTCCTCGGTTGGTGAGTAAGGAGAACTTCCAGTGGTTTAAGAAATTCATTTATAAGTGGAAGAAGGAAGTGGGTCCAGCTCACTTCACCCTTGGAGCCATGGGAAGAGGGCCAGCGCCGAGAAGACTAACGGAAAACGGCCACTGATGAAAAATTGTTCATGTCCAAAAGTCTTGATGTTAAAATATGTATACTGTTTTACTAGCAGTAGTGGGTTGTTATGCAGACATGCATAGCATCCCACTACTGCAAACACCCCTATAGTCTAATAGGCAAGGGAGGGTGGCAAATAAATACAATTGTCCATTTAATTACATATGTGTTGAGCTCTTGTAACCTTCTATTCTCCTAATAGAAAATAAAGATTTTAGAACACAAATTTGTACAGGAAATGATATTCATCTGGAGGTGGTAGTTTGATTTTACCTATGTGACAGCAGTTATCTAGACATTTTCCCATTGAATACAATATATTAATTAATATATTATGTTATGATATATTAATAATTATTATGAAATAGAAAAGGAAGCACAATATAACGTATAATGAAAATATTAGAAATAAAAGGCTCAAATTGATGTTGGGCTTATATGAAGCTGGACAAGTTGAATATACACTGACAGGTTAAAAATTCCACCCACTTGATTTTTTCATGTTTTCATCTAAAAATATTTCTGCTTTGGATTGGTCTATTGTTTTTAATGAATAAATAGGTAACCTTTTTATTTGTTTTCAATTAGCAACGTTAATATAGAGGACAATAATCCTCAATCCTTAATTCAATGAAATAATTCTAGATTCCAATGTTTACTTTCTATGAAATCAAAATGTTTATTCAGTATCATTAGTTCAGTGCCGTTTCTTGCAGCACATTTCTGAGTCTCCGGCTTTTAATTTTTTTAATATTAAGTTTAAAAAGGCCTCTTAGTGCTGAGGATGTTGCGCGTGGTGTGGCACTTATTGGATGATGGACGTTCCATTAGATATGCAGCTAATGCCATCGGAGTTCCATATGAAACTTTACGAGATGCCGTGAGGCGTTTTCGGGAAACTGGTTCTTACAATAGAAGGCCCGGTTCTGGACGGCCTAGGGTAACAGAACCACGGGATGACCGGTTTTTGACTTTGAGAATTTTACGAAACCAGCGCCTTACTGTTGTTCAAGCGATTCTTCGGCTCGAAGGAGTTCGAGGTGTGCAAATTTCTAAATTTCCGCTCGGAGAAGATTAAATGAGTATGGATTAATGGCTTTTCGTCTGGTAAGAGGACCAGAGTTGACCAGAACTCACAGAGTAACACGGCTGGCTTTTGCTCGAGAACACAGCGATTGGACTATGGACGAATGCAGATGAGTTTTTACAGATGAGTCAAGATTCGCTCTTCGATCTCCAGACGGGCGTGAAAGGGTGTGGAGAAGAAACGAAAGATATGCATCCTGTAATTTTTCTCAGAGCCAACCTTTCCAACGTGGTTCCTTAATGGGTAACAAGTGGCTGGAATTTTTCGCCTGTCAGTGTATATTATGGTTACAAATTGGCAATAAAGAGCGATGAATAATATAGATTTTTAAAGGAATTAAAAATTTGTCAGAACTGTGGTTTCGTTCCGTTTATTTCATGTTGATAAAAAATAACAAAATTTGAACTACAGAATACATATAAATTTGAGCAACAAGTAGCACAATTAAATGAACATAGGGCGGCTACCAAATTGTCAGAGTAAAATTCCCTGACTATTCCCTCTTTAATGAAAGTTTTCCCTGACCAATATGTCAAGAGACACAAATGTTAAAAATATATAGTTTATAACTAATTAATTTGAAACTATTTTAATTTATTATACATGATAGAAAATTGAAAGATTAGAGTAAAAACAAGTCTGTTCAGTCTTTTAAAAAATAAATATAATATTCAAGAGGAAGCATTTTTTAAGCATGATTAGGATTTTTTTTATTTTTGAAAACTGACCTTAAGTAATTTATTTTCATAAAGTAACAGAATCTAAAAGTTCATACTAGACACTTTTATCTATTATGAAATAAACTCAGCTACGGGCTATTCTTATTTTAATGTAAGGCAATTTAATTCTCTTATTGCCACAAACAGAACAATAATTATCCATACGATACAAACTGTGAGGCGAGATGGCCGAGTAGTTCAATTAATGAATGATTACAGAAGGAAATGGCAGGAACACAATTTTCGACTTTGGTAGATTGTTTGACTAGTAAAGAAATAAAAATACTAAAAGTCACCACTCCTAGGTGGTAAGCCAGGTGGGGGAGGAGAGGTGGTTTTTTCGGGGTTTCATTTATATCAGGAAAACTATCCATCGCATCAATAAAGACGTTCTATACAAAATTAAAGCTGATAAAATTTGCGATATGACTGCATCTATACATTTTTTTGCTACCTCACTTAGCGAGATATCTATATTCAACTATGATGAATTTTGAAGAAAAATAAATTTGAGTCTCCGCCACTTCTTTCTATTATCCCCTATGTTCGGGCATTAATTGACTGGACCTGAGGGAAATAAAGCTGTGTAAAACACACATTTCCCGGCAACCTTATAAACTCAAGTTTACATGATAATTATGAGTAAAAGTTTTTCTGTATAGTTTAGAAGTTTAATAATTAAATTATAATTGCTCTAGCCTTTGAATGGTTGAAAATAAGATCGTAAAATAATATATATTCTTAAAGAAAATTTTATATTAAACAACTTTCTTACTCATGACTTTTTCGTATACTGAAAAGATAAAGAGTTGGCAAGTCAAACAATGATAAAAATGCGATGCAAAAATTTTTTTTTTTCGAAATTAGTGAATTACCAGGGTGAATATCACGGAAATTATAGAATATAGCGAATAAACTAATACAACCATTTCTACTGCAAAATTTTGCCAGATTTAATTTCACATATCACACTATTATAGATATAACGCATAGATTTACTGATATAAGCGAAAAACCGATTAAAGTAAACTTTGTTAATCGTTAATTCAATTATTCGACTTGAAATCTATGAGTATGGGGTAACTGACTTTTATTTCAAGTCTTAAGACTGTAAACAATATAAATTGAAAGTGTTGGTAGCTTTATATATCTATAAGCTCTCTCTATATATACAGGTGCAACCTGTGTAAGGTTTCTTCTATCTTCACATGACCACCATTTTGTATTCTAGCAGCTTGATATCTTCTCCAGGACGAACAGGTACTTGCCAGCCGATGAATTGCTACGACCGTTGTCACATGCTTTAATAAAAATATAATTCAAATAATATAAAGGTATCTATCGTTTCCCAATATTAAACATACAGTTTAAAAAACAGAATGCAATTCAACCGTTCCTGAACTATCTGTAAAATCGAAATTTTCAACAATACTACTAATCGACAATTGGATATCTCTAAACTAAATTTCTGCAGAGTTCAAAACTGAAAAAAAAACTCCCAGAAACGACCCCCATTGGCATCATGCATAGCCTGTGCAATGGACGTATCACTTCCTGATACTTTTGCCGTCTTGAGCGAAGTCATGATTTTTCAATTGTATTTTTAGTATTAATAATTAATGTGTGAAATTAATAATGATTTGTAGTTTCAATTTATTTATCTCTCGATCAATTAATTGGAGAACGTAAAAAACTATTTATTAAAATACGATTTTTACTAAGTTGGAATATCGATGTGGTTTTATAGTTTATAACAATATTGAAGGACTTATAATAATCAAGGCTGCAGCTTA